TGGGAAACGTGCACCGGCGCACAGCTGCCTGTTCACAAAGAAGGGGAAGATGGCCCAATCTTTGCGACACAGTGCTAGAAACACATGTGACTGGCACACACCATGTTGCCACTCTCCATCCCTAACACAACCAAAGACAGACCTGGCAATGCCATCAACATAAGCCTTCCTTCCACACAGAGTGAAAGAACAGTGGATTGCCGGCCCAGGGCGTGTGCAGAGCAGATGTGTAGTTTAAAAGAGACCACCAGCACCCAAAGCCGAGGGTGAACAGTTGTGCATCCCACGCACAGAAGTTCGCACAAATGTTTGCTGCACCCTGTCTCGGTCTCTCTGGGGTCCTGGCAGTCCTCGGAAAACGTTCCCCTTCCAACAGAGCTTCTGAGGCTGTGCCGCTCTCACCCCATCACTCTGAGCAGCTGAGCCCACAGTGCAGAATGGCTCCCCAGGACACAAAGGTCTCTCAGCAGCACTGGGCCTGGGGCCCCTGTACCCCCGTGGTGGATCTGGTACCCACCCAACCAGCCCTCCACCTCCATTGTATTTAGCTGTGCACCCTGCAAGACCACCAGGTCAACCAGGGCAAGATTCCGTCATCAGAATCTAGAACAGACCTGGGGAAAGATGAGTACTTAATAAACATCTGACAAGTCAGTAGAAATATATAAATTAATATTGAGTTTTCTGTGCATGATACAAGAAAAATGACCCATTTTCTAAAACCCCATCCTACTGTAATTCACACAGACACTCCTAATAACACCACTTAAGACAAATGTTTCAGGCTCATTTAAACAATCAAATACTTATTAATTTTCATTTTAAAAGCATGAAAATGTTAAAATAACTAAGGTATTTCTACTATGTAATAATAACTTGAATGCATGAAGGCAAATTTATCCTTAAATATCATATGAACAAAATATATCAGGTAAGATATGAACTGATGTCCTCAACATTCTTTTTTTTTTTAAGTTTTTTTTTTTATCATTGGTACATTTTATTTTATTTATTTATTTTTAAACATTTATTTATTTGTGTGTGTGTGTGTGTGTGTGTGTGTGTGTGTGTGGCCAGCTCAGCCCACCAGGGGGCAGGGCTGGCTGGCATGTGGTGCTGGGGGATCGAACCGTGGTCCCTGTGCTTTGGCCAAGCTTGTTCTAAGTAGGTGCTTTAGACCACTGAGCCATCTCACCAGCCCCTCAACATTCTAACTTACTAGATATACAAGGAGACTGCACATCATAAATATTACTCCCAAATTAAAGAGACTCCAAAAACCCTTATAGTAAATCAGAAAGCAAAGCCATGATATGAGTGAAAATACCACCTCTTTCTAATTTAGTACTATATTAAGCCAAAAAATTTAATACCAAATAAAGGTATATAATCACAGAAATGAAATGCTGTAATTTTAAAAAAACTAAACAGTTTGACACTAACCAAGATCTATTTAAGAAACTCTTAACTGCAGAAAACAACAAATCTCAAAAAATAAGGGCTGGTGGTATAGCTCAGCGGACTAAGCATCTGCTTAGGTAAGCGCAGGGGCCAGGGTTCGCTCTCTGGCACCCCATGCCACACCGGCCCTGCCCCCATGCGCACTGAGCAGATGATGGAGTCCAGGCGTGGTGGCGCACACCTGTGATCCCAGCAGTAGGGAGGCAGAAAACAGGAGGATCACTACGAGTCTGAGCTATATAGTGAGACCCTGCACAAAAAAGAAAAAAAAAAAGTTTGAGGAAATAGATGTTCACCCTAATTTAATTATTACACAATATACACATGTATAAAACCTCATAAATAATGATTTTTAAATGTTAAAACATGGGAAAGCTTCAAAACTCCACCTTGGAGTTACATATATCCTAGGAGTAGATATAGCCATTGTAAGAATAAGGAACTTGTTTTATATAAATATCCTTATTTTAAAAGCCTCATATATGAACCATTCTTATTACACTGATGTCAGAGTATTAAATCCACTGTACTCAATTTATAGTATGTTAATTTTATACAGTATCTTCTGTTAGTTCTGTATATCCCCAATCAAGAACTTTAAACCTACTGAAAACATCCATATATGTATTTATTAAGCAGTACTCTGAAGTATATATTTCCATGCTAGAAAATGACAACTAATAAACTGTTGGGTAGGTATTATTTCAGACAACTGATGGGTTTTCATTATTTCAAAAATTTTACATTGAGTGTAATTTGTGAGTATGTTACCTCCTGTATTCAAATCCTCCTAACTTCTGTTTGTCTAAAGTGAGAGCTTCGCGGGGACATAGTAAGAACAGAGTAGGGCCTCAACCAAAGTCTTAAATCAAGAGAGCATTTTAATTTTCCAAGGGCTGGGGAGAAGGCTCAAGGGCTGGGGAGATGGCTCAATAGAATAAGTGCTTCCCTGGTAAGCACAAGAGCCTGAGTTCAATCCCTGGTTCTGCAAAAAAAATAAATAAATAAAAACTTCTCAAAAAAAAAAAAAAAAAAGAAATAAATAAATAAATAAATAAACTTTAGGGTCCAGGAGATGGCTCAGTAGAATAAGTGCTTCCCTGACAATGCAAGGGCCTGAGTTCAATTCCCGGTTTCACCCAAAAAAAAAAAAAAAAAAAAAGTAATAAATAAATTTTCCAGCCAGCCTAGGAAGACCAGAAGTACCTGAGACATTCATGTGAACACACAGGCTCCATGTCTGGACAGGACAAGTTTTTTTCTACTTTCAGTGTGAAGTCTCTACTACCATTTCTGCTCTTTCCAAACCAGGACAAGGAAAGAGCTGCTTTTCATGCATGTGAAGGGAAGAATAAAAGACACTGGAAGTGGAATCCTAGGGCTCCTCACTTGGACCAGGTACAACTCAAAAGTGGCCCTTCCTCCCCCTTCTGGGTTTGGATTACAGAGTGCACACTTCCCGAACCACACAGACTTTCCAGAGAGGACCTGAAATGATGGTAATACCAAGAAGGCTTTTTTGTCTACCCTGCCCCAACCTGGAGACATGTAAACTACTGCTTGTCCGGCTCTCAAGCCGGTATCCTCAGTGACTGACTCCAATCTTCCGAGCCTCTTCTACCACTGGAAGACTGGCAATTCCACCACATTCTGTGTTTTGGGCCTTCTTGAATACATCTGCAACCTCCACTCACCAAAAAGTAAACAGTGCTAATGTAGGCCCTCTCCAATCTTCCCTTCTCATTGCATTTTGAAGGCTTATTCTCTCTGCAGACCACGCATACTTGCCTTGAAAAATGTCCTGAAACACTGTTCAGGCTATGTGAGATTCCACCTTTCTGAAGAACGCTATTATCAATTTTAAAATACTGTCACTCATCTAATTTTACAAAGAGTACATAAGGTAACACCATAGTATTATTTTAAATAAAAAGTAGACAGCAATTTTCCATGCCAAAAAGGATCAATCATATAGTAATCTTTTAAAATAATATTTATAAAATATACTCTTTCTAGATCCAAGCTCAAAACATTGATGTCAGTATAATTTTATATTAGAAAATATACAATTATCAGATCTAAGAATTAAACTTTTAGGTGGCCAGCTAGCTCAGTCGGTAGAGCATGAGACTCTTAAGAATTAAACTTTTTTTTTTTTTTTTTTTTTTTGGCAGAACCGGGGATTGAACTCAGGCCCTTGTGCTTGCTAGGCTATACTGAGCTATGTCCCCCAGCCCCTAAACTTTTTTTAAATTTACCACATGCTATCAGGGCTTCTGAAAAACAGTATGGTAACCACGATATTTGTGGAATATAGGCACATACTCTCTTGTGCAGAACATAGTATCCCCTATTTTAATCTGAAAAATTATACAAACAGCTCATGATTTTACAAAAGACTACCATATTTGTCAAATATATATTAATGACAGATTTCCTCAATGTGAAAAAAAAATGATCTTATCTTGTATCATAAAACATTGGTAGTTAATCAAGTACTTTCCAGAGACAAATCAGTTTTTATCCCTTAACTCCAAATTCCCTGACACCCAAATTTGATCTAATTCCAAAGGACTAACACCGAAAAAGCACCGATCAGGTATTCTGACTTGAAACAATAAGCAAGGACAGTATTGGCCTCACATTTAAAATACAGACTGAAGCAAAAGCATGAAATCTGGTTAAAAGGTGCAAATAAGAACGTAACATTTTAAATTCCTGTCTTCTTTTTTACTAAGTCCCCTTTTCTAAAATGTGTCCGTGAATTCCCAACGTGCTCTCACACTGGGATTCCTAAACTGTAGTAAGTGTGCACCTACAGTATTTTAAAAGTAAACTTCTTCTCAATTTCCCATAAACTTTCCTACAGCAAGCAGTAAAATTCCATGGTTCGCCTTGTTTTTTTCTATTTGTGTGCAAGTTAGTGAAGAGTAATGCTCCATTCATTCTAAGCAACAGGTTACACTGATGCTCTATCTTCAAAAAAGGCAGCAAGCCATCTAAGAACAGTACAGACCAAGCAACCCTCTAAAACTTGAGGCCTTCGTAGCTCAAAGAAGCTACCTTGATACCATAATGTTAAGTGAAAAAATCAGAGATACAAGCTTAAAAATGACACAAATTCTCTTATATGAGAACATAAAATATAAGAGCAAAATAAAAGATAAGAGGAGAACTTTTTCAAATGGAAAGGGAAACAGAAAAAGGGGGAAGGGAGCAAGGAAAATAGGATTTTAAAAAAAGAACTGAAGAAAAAAGTGAGACTGAAGCTTTTGCACAAGGGACTGGGCAGGGAGAAATGGGAGGGGTGAGGGTGAAAAGGAGTGGAGGCGCACCGCACAACAAAAGCTGCACAGCCATCTCGCCAGCCTGCACCAGGCCACTCGGCTCTCCAAGTCTGAGGCCATACTAAACGAGGAAAGAACACTGAAGAGCAAGGGCAAGCAAAACACACCATATATTATACGCTCATTAGTCACAATGCAAGTACACAAATAAACTTAGGTTAGTGTCAGGAGACCACACATAAATTACAATACCTGAGATTTAGTGCATTCCTTTGAGCCACATGAAATGAGTGCCATAAAAAGAGGAAAGGAAAAGATGAATGTTACCAGACATGCCACATTACATTGCATCTGCCGAAATGAAGGCGAGTCAACACTAGGTTAAGAGTGACTGTGCAGGGCTGGCCGCACGTGCAGTGCTCTCCAGCTTTCTGGCCAAGCGCCTGCAACCACCTTAAATCACCTAAGTATGCTCCTACACTCTTCAAATGAACTTTCTACCCTCAGCTTCACCCTATACACAATTTCTCATAACATTTCTGCTAAGTATTACAAAAAGACAACGCTAATGGTGAATAATTTTCATTTAATTATTTTACCATAGGGTGTTTAAAATACAAAATAAAATTATGTATTTAGGTAAAATAATAAAATGTATACAAAATTTGCACCTCCAAAAGAATGATTCAATACTTTGAATTACAACTGCGTTGCCCCCAATCTCAATTCATTAGTTAAAATTAATACCAATATGTCACATCATCAATGAGTAATCAAGTTTTCATCCTAGCACTAAATTATGCCTAAAAGTTCTGTTGACCAAATAATGTACTGTCAAAATCCCTTAATAAAAACTCTTGTAGCAATACAAAATACTGTTCATCTTTTAAAACAGAGCATGACAGTGGAAGCACACTGAGAAAGCCAATCAGTAGTGGGAGGGGCAGGTGGGGTAATGCTAGAAAATGACCCTCCCACATCAGTGTGACAGATTTGAGGATGAAGTTGATCCAATCAACTTTAACAATAAATTTTAAGTAACATAATACTCCCTCAGTATCTCAGTTTGAAAACTAATTAGGAAAAATAATTCCAAAGCAGAAGCATATCAATAGTAGGCCAAAATATTATAGGTTATTTGCACTATTAATATGAACAACTCTTTCAGTAAACATTTCCTTCTTCTTCCATAATGCTAAATTAACACTAAAAATATACCTTCTTTAATGGACAATAGTAACAAAAAAATCTTTCATGGGTTTCTCTTTTCTTAAATACCAAGTTCAAGAGACCAACAAAGCTGTCTTTGTGATGAGCAAAGAGCAGCCCTTTCCAAATGAGCTCAATGAAATGATTCAACTGTGAGAGTCATATTCACTTAAAACACTGCACAGGGAACACAGAGGTGGGCAGGTCTGCTGTGGTCAGAATCAGTCAATGTTTACACAAAGAGCTCTCTAGGAAAAACAATATACAAAGAGTTGGTATTAGATTAAAGTTAACTAACAACAGTCATTTTTAAGCCTACTATTTTCTTTCTTTTTTTTTTTTTTTTTTTTTTTTTTTTTTTAGGACAGGATGTACAGGCTGTACAGGGTCTCACTGTGTAGATCAGACTCGTAGTGATCCTCCTGTTTACAGCCTCCCAAGTACTGGGATTACAGTTCACCACCACGCCCAGTCTCATCTCACTGTGCCCCGGAAGTGGGGGCCACAGGCCAGGGGATCGAACTCCCAGCCCCCGCGTTTGCCTAAGCAGGTGCTTTAATCCACTAGGCTATTTGGCTGACAGAGTCTACTATTTTCAATGTTTCTTGCATTTATATTTATTTTCAGAGAGAAAAGAAAAAAACTGAAAAATATAAAGTAAGTACTCCTACCTACTTTTATTGTATGGTGTATTTATTTTAAAATTAATTTTACATATAGTAACCATTCATGGAATATATAGGATAGCTTATTTCTCACAGTACTTATTATTCAAAGGAGTGGGGACAGGCGAGATAGCCAGCGGTCTAAAGCACCTTAGGCAAGCTGAGGCAGATGCAGGGACCGCAATTGCATCCCTCACACCACATGCCACACCAGCCCCGCACTCAGGGTGGGCTAATAAGCTGGCCAAAAAATAAAAAAATGAAACAAAGGAATCAGGAAAATAAGGCTCTTAACTGACTTTATGAAGGTCATACACAAAACACTTTGTTAGCTATGTCTTGGTTTCTTCAAATACAGAAAGAAATTTATCAAAACTTCATTAAGTGGCAATCAAGCAGATTACAGCATGTAAGGAGCTCTGAATCAATTAGAAATATTTCAGAGACTCTTCACACTGAAATCTTAAAATCTCCCCTTCAGAGCTGGCCAAGGTGACACACACCAGCAATCCTGGCACTTTAGGAATCTGTGGCAGGAGGACAGCAAGTTCAGGGCTAGCCTGGGTAACCCACTGAGACTGTCTCAGAAATACAAAAAATAATATAAAATTTTCAAAGGGCCGAGAATGTAGCTCTGTGTGGAGGTGCTGGGGTCATTCCCCATGGCAGGAGACAGGGCAAAATCACTTTAAACTCTTTATCTCAACTGACCACATTTTGAACTCTTAGATAATACTTGCACAGTACTATGAAAAATAACATGTAATTTTTAAATACCTAGTCTTCAATTAAAAACCCCATACAGTACTGGGAGAGGGTTCATGAGAGGAAGCTAAAATTCCGTATTAAAGACAGACAACTTAAAATATACCAATACTCACTGTACATACTTATTCCAAAGCTGATCTTCAGGGAATATTTTAGGAAATAAAGAGGTAAACAGTCTTTGACCTCTCATTTCAATGCTTTCTAAAAACTATTCATATCATGTGCTTCCAGAAAAATCTACATTTTGTTTATCATACAAAATTAGTCATCAAAAATGAAAATATTAAATGTCTTTTCATCAAACTTTCAAAAAATAAAACAAATAAAAATATTATACACTTAACTTACCGTATGATAGCCTCTAGGCAAGGGTGGTTTGCCCATAGGGTAAGGGTCCACAGTGTCAATAATTGTTTGTCTTTCACCTTTCTGGTTGATTTTTCTAAATCTCCTTCGAGACTGTCTATGAGAGGCTTGGCGCTGAAAATATTCTTCATTTTCATCCATATAATCCACCTGAAATACAATTTCCAAGACACTTCATTCTCCAAACGTAAAATTCCACGAAACTATCAGACTCAGAAAGAAAATTATAGGAGTCCACACATTCACTGCAAACACACTGGCAGACAAGCTAACTAGACACACATCAAGGATCTCTGAACTTCTCTGAAACAAGTTGGCTTTGAGTAACTTCGCTTTTACAAAGAGGCATTTTCAGTTTCACTCAGTACAATATGGGGAACTCTTGAATTTCCTGTAGTTTCAAAGGGGATGGATATTTTCAGTAGTTTCTGTACTGATTTATTAGTAAAAAGATCTCATGGGACACTTTACCACACATTATGAAAGCAGTCACCCCACACATGTGCGCGCGTACACACACACACACACACACACACACACACACACACACACATATTTGATGTATTTGACTGAATGTGTTTTTTAAAAAGTCCCAAATGGCTCAATCAGAACTGCTAACAGGATGGCTCAGGGAAAGTAAGGATTTCTCTTCCCACTTTCATTGCATATAGTTTTAGTTTCCTTTTTATTATAATACTGCTTTAAAAAAATTCCTCATTTTAAAAATTTTAAAACTCTGATGACTGGATTAATAACAAAGCTTGCATTCAGTTCTTCAGATCATAAGCCAATGCTGAAATGAGAATACTCATGTGGAGCCACTTAGCCTCCACGGCTGTGCCCACTGGGAAAGCCAGCAGCCTGTGGAGTATCAAAAAACAGTAAGTACTAAGCGAAGTCTGAAAAATCAAAACTCCTTCAGACAAATAAAAAAAAGCATTAACAGAGAACAGTGTTTAGAATGTTTTAGGAAACTTTTGACAACTCCTATCTGCCCACATTTTTTCCCAATACTAAATCTTTAGTCATCACCATCCTACTTTTTCATTTAAGAATACATTTTGTGAAATTTTATAAAACCCTTCAGTAGTTTTGATGAGGAAGTTCTTATTTCTGACAGAATTCCTTTCCAGCATCTCTGGGGAAACCCCAAATTGTCTCTGAAGATAATCAGAGCTGTTCAACAAATACTTTCTCAAGTGTGAATAAAAAGATTCCACTGTCTTATTCAGCTACCATTTCTTTTACACAACAGTTTCCTTCCCAGAGAGGCTGCTGGGTGAGGAACAGAGAGAATATCAGCATCAACCCAACATCTGAGCTGTGAACCCTGCATCTTATTTTTGTCACTGATTTTTTAAAAACAAGGTTCATATTATTGCATCTTAAAACTACATCTTTAAAAAAAGAGCATGTTTATAGAGCAAAAAAGACAACAGATTTTTTAAAATTTGACTAAAAATAATGCCTATTTCATTCAGTATTATATACAATATCTTAATGTATTTTTAAATCTCAACTGAAATATAAAGATTAACAATGCAATAATCAACTCAGTACTCTGTAGCTTTCTTTCAATTGCATAAAGAAATTCAAGTGATATCCTTATATTAATGCTTGAATACCTACCACTGTGATTCATTCAAACTAACTCAAGTTTCCCAATAAATACTAAGAGAACTGAGAGCCTACAATTCAAAGAGCCATGCACAGTCCAGTTAAATGGCACCATCATGGTTCAGTTTCAAAGTCTGAGCACTGAGGTCCCCATCCCTCTCAACCCTCTCGTGTCCACACTAACTGATTATACTCGACTAGAAACTCAAGTTTATAGTGCAAGGCTAGGACATAGGTCTAATGTATACATGCCTCATCTTAAAAAAAAAAAAATGTAGCCACTACACATTGTTTGAGAAAGCACCATTACTTCACACAATTTTCAGGAGAGGAGAGTCTTTACAGAAATATCTTACCACAATCATTTCAGAAGGCTCCAGCACAATGCACTCACAGCCCCGCCGAAAGCTTCCTGCAGAACGCTTGCCAAAACTAGAAAGGGGGGAAAAATCAGCTAAAGACAACCTCAGAGATTTAAAAAATATAAATTTAAGTCAGTCTTCTAGATAAAGATGTATTTTTAAAATTATAGAAAGCATACACTGTCTTTAGTCATTCCTAACATAAAAAACAAGGAAATTCTCAAATTCTTGTTTCAGTCATGTATTTCTCTGGAAAATTCCATGACAATATTTTTAAATTAGTAATGTAGTAAAGGAGAACAAGCATGAATGTGTTTTGTGTTGGTTTATTTTCAATCATTCTGAGTTTTAAGTTTTAGAATACTCCGACAGTGATGGGAAATGCCCCAAAGACAAACTATAAAAATATCGCAAGTATGAAACAGAAGTCATTCTCTTTCACAATTCACTTTTGCTCAAGTTAAGCATTTCTTTCACCTAAAATGTGTAGGGTTTGTTTTTTTGTTTTTGTTTTTGTTTTGTTTTGTTTTTAAAGTTTCAAATCAACTTGCTCTAAATGTTTTAGGGGAAAGGTACATGAAGGCAGTTTTTTCTTCAACATGAAGTGCCTCCCGATGTGTCCCACAAGCCGTCCCTGGCTCCTCCCGCAGCTCACGGAGGGAGCTCAGACACAGCTGCTCTGCTGGATGTGGCCTTCTCTGGCTGCTAGCCCAGGAGGACCCTGGGGCACCCATGTAACCCTGCCTGGCTGGCTCCCTGCTGCCTGCCTGCCTGCCTGCCCCGCGGTCATTCACCATGCCACAAACTCTCTGTTGGCCACCCAGGAAAAAAGTATGGCAGATTTAGTCTTGAGGGGGTGGGACCTTGGGGAATAATAACTATGTTGCTAATTTGGATTTCAACATATTTTATGTATGCATTCAGTAAAATTTTAAAGAAACTTATCTTTAAGAGAAAAAACTTCTTCCAAAGAGCTATTTTAACTGAGCATTTTCTATGGGAATTCTTGTTCATTCTATAAACGTACTGATACAGTGGCACAAAATGTTTCACATATCAGAAATGACATTACAACCAAAAAGTCACTGAAGAGGAATAAAACAGAAGGCCTGGGGACATGGCTCAATGACATGAGCATCTGCCTGGCAAGCGCAAGGTGCTGAGTTCAATCCCTAATATCCCGCCCCCTGCCTCAAAAAAAGGGAATAAAACAGGAAAACTAATGTTCTCTATCTATCATTTGTGTTCTTTGGCAAAGAACCTTCACCGCTTTATACACTAAATTATTATAATAATAATAATAATTACAAATTATTCATTTATACATTTACCAGTTACATTTAGTCATCTTTTGTCTATCTTTTCCTGCTCAAAACTACTTCTATAAAAATCAAAACAAACATAAGCAACATATTTGAAAAACTTTGGAAATATTCATATATTCGGCTGGTATGATGGCACACCCCTGAAATCCCAGTACTCTGGGAAGCTGAGGCGTTAGGATCCCAAGTTGAGCCCACCTTGGGTACATAGTGAGATCTTGTCTCAAAAATAAAAAGGATGAGGGATGTAGTTGAGGGTGAAGATCCAGGGTTCACTGGGGGGGGGGGTCCCCAGTACCACTGAGAGAAAAAAGAATATATTCATGTATATTCATTCACACATATATATTCACACAAGTACTAGACTACAGTGCTAAAATAGAAAAGTTCTGCCAAGAAAAACATTTAAAAACATCTTGGACATTCTTTCAAATACTTCACCACTTTCTCTTTCAGTATATCTCATCTTATTAAAGAACTTTTGTACATCAAAAGAAATCACGGACAGAGTGAAAAGAAAACCCATGAAATGGGGGAAAAAAACCTGTCAACTGTTCCCCTGACAAGGGCCTTCTATCTAGAACATATAAAGAATTTTTTTTAAAAAATCAGACCCCCAAAATTCAAAGAGTCAGTCAAAAAATGGGCATCTGTGATAAATACACACTTCTCAGATGAAAAATACAAATGGCAAACACATAATAAGAAAAGAATTTCAAAATCATTGGTCATTCAAGAGATGCAAATTAAAACAACACTGAGATTCCACTGCACCTCAGATAAGAAAGGCTATCAAGAAATCAATCAAGGGGCTGGTGAGATGGCTCAGTGGTCTAAAGCACCTACTTAGAACAGGCTTAGCAAAGCACAGGGACTGCGGTTCAATCCCCCGGCCCCCCTTCCAGCCAGCCCCGCCCCCTGGTGGGCTGAGCTGGCCACACACACACACACACACACAAATAAATAAATAAATAAATAAAAAATTTTTAAAAAGAAATCAATAATAAATGTTGAGAGGCTCTGGGGGAAAAGAAACCCTTCTCTACTGTTGGTGGGAGTGCAAAGTGGTGCAACCACTGTGGAAACCAGGGTCAGATTCCTCAAAAACTAGGATTAGAGGCCCCACTGACTCAGCTCTTCCCCTCTAAGTATTTGCCCAGAAGAAATGAAAACATCATACCACAGAAATATATGACATCCATGTTTATAACAGCACAATTTATGACCGCTAAATCTTAGAAATAGCTCAAATGCCCATCAAGTGAGGAATGGATAAGAAGATGTGGTATTTGTATACAATGGACTATTACTCACCTATAAAGAAAGATAAACTCAAGGCTTTTTTAGGTAAATGGATGCAACTAGAGACCATATCATATGTGACAAATCAAGAGTTGTACATGTAAACATTGTATTGTCTCCCTAATGTAGAAGATGAGAGAATAAATAACATCCAGAAGGTATGAGAGACACTGCGAAAGGTAAATAAACGATTATACCTTAATTGTGCTACTAATTTCTGTTCATTGAAAAGAACCATCAGTGCTTATATTGTTTGATCAATCTTATATGCTTATGTCTGGTAATCTGAGCAATGACTTTAAAAACATTATGCAATATAATAACCATTGTTAATTTCCTATCATCTTGCTTTGAAATTCTGTATTTTACTGTTTTTTAATGTCTTTAAAATAAAAGGAATAGGGGGTGAGGATGTAGCTCAGCAGCATGAGCACCTGCATGGCAAGTCCAAGGTCCTGAGTTTGATTCCCAGTACTACCCCCCACAAAAAAATAAATAAAAAGAATAAGGGCCGGCCAAATAGCTCAGCAGATCAAAGCACCTGCAAGCAGGCACAGGGGCTAGAGGTTCAATCCCAGGCTTGCTGTGCCAGCCCTACCCCTGGTGCACACTGAGAGGGAAGTTGAGACCGGGTGTGGTAGTTTGAGCTCCTGGGAGGCTGTAAACAGATACATCACTATGAGTCCAATCTAGTAGTGAGACCCTGAACACCCTGTAGACCCTTCCCTAAAATATAAAAAAAGTAAAATAAAATAAAATGAGTAAGAATTTTATCTTACAAGTCACATTGATCCTTGTAAAATTAAAAGGATCTGAACTTCTAAATATCTTCCTTTTTAATACAATTAGATACAACTAAAACTCCTTAACCCTTTGATATACCTAAAAATTTGTTTTTAGTTTAGGAAATCTGCTAGTTCCAATTTAATTTTTTACAATGAGTAGTATAATTTAATGATACACTACAAACCCATGTGCATAGCAGCCAAATTCATAATACCTAAATCTTGAAAGCAACCTTATATGTCCACTAACAGATGATTAGGTAAAGACAATATGGTATTTATGCACAATGGAGTACTATTCTGCCACAAAGAAAGATAAACTTGAAACATTCATAGGAAAATGGATGCACCTTGAGACCATAATGGTAAGTGAAATAAATCAGATGCACAAGTTAAATGTCCCATGGTTTCTCTTAAATCGGAAACCCACAATACAAATATAAATAAAGAGCAAAAGAGAGATGACAGGAAGCAGGGAGCAAGTTCTGTAATCAGAAAGGAATGATTACAGAATTGGAGTGATGGGGTGGAGAGGGCAGCAGGCTGCTGGCCCACACTGTGCTTTGTGAAGTCTACTGTAAGGCCTCAGACTGGAACAGAGCATTGCATCTGGTCAGACAAATGTCCACTTCAGACAGTGGTACCAAGGAGCAGAATACAGTTACAGGCATGAACTATGTAACTCCACACAAAGAATGTAGACATTAGGTATACAATGTATACCTTGTTAAACATGTACTTAACAAAATACACTTTATTTAAAAAATTAACCTCAATGTATTAATAAAATATATGTAATTTAAAACAGAACATAAAGTTATACTAATGTACTGCCCAGTACAATCAGCAAAAATTACAATATTGTATAAACAAGATTTAAAAAATAAGACACTGCAGCTGTCTGACCTGTACAGTGGGCCCCAGGTCTGCAAGGCACGCTGGGTGCTAGGTCCATGAAATCTTGGAGCAGCAGATCATTAAGAGCAGGTTGGCCAGGGAGACGGCTCGGTGGTCTAAGTGCCTGCTTGGCAAGTACAAGGACCCAGGTTCAATCCCCAGTACCACAAGACAATTGCTATGTGCCAGCACCACACCAGCCACTGAAACTGGCTGTGGTTGTGCATGCCTATAAACCCCAGCATTGGGGAGGCTGAGACACGAGGATCACTATGAGTCCGAGCTGTGTAGTGAGACCCTACACAAAATCAATCAATCAATCTTTTTTGAAAAAGAGGTTATCTGTACAGTATCACACTACTGCCACCCATCTGATTGTTATATGACTGCTTACAACTCTACATTGAATATTTACGATTTATTGCAAAATAACATTGAAACCTAAAATCCATGTATGAGGCAGAGTGGCTACACCAGTACAGAGAACGCAATTACCAAGTGTGAGGTCCTGGGTACCATCCCCAGCAGCACAAGACAATTGATATATAAATGTAAAAGTTATGACTGTGAGAAATTTTACTCCATTAAATCATAGATCTACACAATTTTATAAACATAATGATTAAATGGAGAGCTTTTTAAATGTCATGTAAAAACCCTATACATGTTTGTGAGGGCACATAGGATTAAAAGAGGTGTTTACAAATCTTGGCAAGAGAAGGTGGCAACATTCTCATAAAGCAACTACATATGGTACTTACTTA